AATGCATATTGTTTCTGCAGATGAAGAAGATCTGAAAAGAACATTCCAGGCTGAGCGAGGAGTGAGGCCAGTAGGCTGAAATATGTGAGCAAGTGTGTGAAAGTCAGCAAAGGGTCTACCCCACCCTACCCCCATGGGCTCTCCCCATTCTTGCCTTATAAGCTGTGGGCATTTCCCTGGAGTCTCTGTATGGCTTTTTATGCACTTTTTCCCTTTCTGAATTGTTCTTCCTCCCTTTTGACTTTTCCAGCTAGCAAACCCCCTAACCTTCTAGGCCACAGTCAGGATAGATGTCCCCTGTGGAATGCGCCTGACCTTCCTCTGTGCGCCCACAGCACTTCAGACCCGTGGCATTCTCTGATTTCAGTATTGTAGACATTGTTTTTCTTATCACAGTAGACTTGAGATCCTTGGGTGCAGGGAACCATGTCGCTTTCATCATTTTGTAAGACTAATGTTCCATTAGCTTCTCATTCTGCACGGGATAAAGCCCAGGGCTTTTGATGTACTGTAAGTGGCCCTTCACAGGCTGGCTTCAAACTCTCTTTATCCTGGTCTCCTCTCCTGCTGCCATCTATGCTGCCTACACTGCAGCCATTTACACTAGCTTGTAATTTTCTCGGCTTGTTCCAGTTTGGGCTGACCATACTTGGTCTATTTACACACTGCTTTTGTGAAATGCTCTGTTGGCAGGGGCTCTGTTTTCTGCAGGGTAGCCTGTTCCTTTTATCATATTTTTAAAGTGTATATAATGTTTCAGGCATACCCCCCAAAATAATAATATAGCAATCCTCCCTACCCCTTGGCAGTACCCATAGCTCAGTGGGTAGGGCTCCAGCTATATACTCTGAGGCTGGAGAGTTCAAACCTGGCCCAAGCCAGCTAAAACAACAATGACAACTGCAATAACAACAAAAAAATAGCTGGGTGTTGTAGCAGATGCCTGTAGTCCCAGCTACTTGGGAGGCTGAAGGAAGAGAATCACTTAAGCCCAAGAGTTTCAGATTGCTGTGAGCTATGATGCCATGGCACTCTACCCAAGCAAGCAGCTTGCGACTCTGTCTCAAGAAAAAAGGAGGCTCAGAGCCTGTGGCTCAAGTGGCTAAGGCATCAGCCACATACACCTGAGCTGGCGGGTTCAAATCTAGCCCGGGCCTGCCAAACAACAATGACAGCTGCAACCAAAAAGAAAAAAAAAGAAAAAAAGCCAGGCATTGCAGCGGTTGCCTGTAGTCCCAGCTACTCGGGAGGCAGAGGCAAGAGAATTCACTTGAGCCTAGGAGTTAGAGGTTGCTATGAGCTGTGATGACACGGCACTCTATCCAGGGTGATAACTTGAGGCTCTGTCTCAAAAAAAGAAAAATATATGGGTTTGTCAGCTGTGTGCCTTGGAGCATTTTAACCTGATAACCCTTGATCCCCAGACTATAAATTTCAAAATGAGGCTCATAAGAGAAGACAGACCAAGTGGTGAGGCTTTTTTTGAACTCATCAGAAGATGAGTCACTCTTGGAGGTGGGGGACAATTATAAGAGGGACTTTACCTAACAAATCAATCAATCAGTATAACCTGAGGTCTCTGTACCCTCAATGAATCCTCAACAATAAAAATAAAATAAAAGTCAACACTTCACGTTATAAGTGCTCAAAAAAAAAAAAAAAATATGAAGTCAAATTGGCCCTGAAAGAAGACAGAGAAACTGTGGGACGCAGATATGTAGAAGTATTCAAGTCAAACAAAATTGAAATGGATTTGGTGTTAAAGCATACTGCTTCAAGTAGACCTTATACAGCCAGTACAGCTTAGAGGACTCCCCTTTGGATGTGGCAAGGAAGAAATTGTTCAGTTCTTCTCAGGTATATCAAAATGTTTATGAGCAGTCAAGCTAAAGTCAGAACTCAACTGTGATCCATCATGAAAGCTTATGACCATGCAGTGGCCAGGTCCTGAGACCTGGGGCTGCCAGTAGGTTTGACAGCATTAGCAGAGGAGCACACTTTGAGAGGATGAGCCACGGTGCTTATGGTGGAGGCTATGCAGATTATAATGACTACAGTAATGGTTATAGATTGGGGTCAGATAGATTTGGAAGAGACCCTGATTATTGGTATTTTGGAATATGTGATCACAGTTATGAGGATATGGGTCTACGTTCCAGAGCACAATAGGGCACTGTATACACATGTGTAGATTGCCTCATAGAGCTACTGAGAATAACATTTACAATTTTTTTTATCTCTCAATCCTGTGAGAATACCCATTGAAATTGGTCTTAATGGCAGAGTAACGAGGTGAAACAGATATTGAGTCTGTAACTTATGAAGATACCATGGCAGCTATGTCAAAAGACGAAGCCAGTATGCAATACAGATATGTAGAAATCTTCTTGAAGTCTGCAGCAGGAGCAAGTGGTGGTGGCCAAATGATGGGAGGGTGGGCTTGTCAAACCAGTCCAGTTATGGTGGCCCAGCCAGCCAGCAGCTGAGTGGTGGTTATGGACACGGCTGTGGTGGCCACAGCAGCATGAGTGGATATGACCGAGTTTTATAGGGAAACTCCAGTGATTTAAATCAAATAGTGCATAGGTGGCCAAGGAGCAGTGAACAGCAGCTACGACAGTAGTGGAAGCCGTGCATCTATGGGTGTGAACAGAATAGGAGGAATATCTAGCATGTCCAGTATGAGTAGTGGATTGGGGATATATTGATGCTGATCACTAACACTTGGTCAACTTTTTTTAAGAAAAACAAAACTTCTAGCCATGCCTATAATCCTAGCACTCTGGGAGGCCAAAGTGGGTGGATCACCTGAGTTCAGGAGTTTAAGAATAGCCTGAACAAACAGAGACGTCTCTACTAAAAATAAAAAAATTAGCCAAGTGTGGTGTGCACCTGTAGTCTCAGCTACTTGGGAGGCTGAGGCAAGAGGATCACTTGAACCCAGGATTGGCGGTTGCTGTGAGCTATGATGTCATGGTATTCTACCTGGGGTGACAGAGTGAGACTCTGTCTCAAAAAAATAAAAAAGAAAAAGAAAACTTCAGTTTAACAGCTTCTTGTAATACAAATTATGATTTATGCTTATTCTGAAAGTGGAAAGCAGGATTGTTTTAAAGACTTAAGGTTTAGTATTTTTGAACACAACACTCATCTAGGATGTAACAGCAAAGTTGAGTAAACTATAAGTATTAAACAAGTTCCAGCTTTCTTTCCTCAAGTTAGTTATATTGTAGGATGTACTTAAGCAAATTTAGGTTACAGCAGTTGAATTATGTTAAATTTTGCTCTTAGATACCACATGGCATTGAACACTGGGGGGGATGCATGTTGAAAGACATGCTTTTTATAAAACTAAAGATAGGGACAGCGCCTGTGGCTCAGCGAGTAGGGTGCTGACCCCATTTACTGCGTGTGGCAGGTTCAAACCCAGCCCCAGCCAAACTGCAACAACAACAAAAATAGCCAGGCATTGTGGTGGGCACCTGTAGTCCTGGCTACTCGGGAGGCTGAGGCAAGAGAATCGCCTAAGCCCAAGAGCTGGAGGTTGCTGTGAGCTGTGACACCACGG